TTGTAACAGGACTTTTAATGACTTACATAAAATGTTGCAGACAAAATAATCTGAAAGTTATATGGTGTTTATTTCTTTGTTTATTTGTTTATTTCTTTGTTGTTATTTAAAATAAATATATTTTATTAAAACTAATCTGAAGTAAATAATAAGATCTATCACAAAATCTATGTTATAACTAAGTCTTAAATGTACTTTTATATTTGTTTTTTTTTTTTTGTTTCTTTTGTTTTTTGCAGTGTATAAGGTCAAAATTAAGTGTTATTATAACAGCAGTATTTACCAATGTAAGTAACAGCCACCCCATTTAACATATTTGGAGGCGTCTGTTTGTTTCCAAAGAGAAATTAGCATTTCTGTAGCAACAGTAATCTGGAGACCCAATCACTGTCCAGATAGCTGGTTGGGGTTGTGGGATATAATCACAGCACATTCATTCATGTCTTTTAGAAGTGTTTGTCTCTGTTAGAACCTTGCTGTATTGAAGGAGGAGAAGATAAGATATTAAAAACTTTATTTCAACTATTGGTTTATTTCTCCCTCTGCGCGAGTCAGGTTACTAGTTTAATAGCGTAAGCTTCTGTTATTATACGTCACACGCATCACACACATGACCAGCGTCGGCCAATAGTGAGCCTTCGTGTGACGTAGCTCTACGCAATCACACTACGTTAACTGACTACAGGCCCATGGAGAAGGAAGTGAATAGTTGAAATAAAGTCGTTATTTTTGTTTGTTTTTGTGCACAAAAATATTCTCGTCGTTTGATAAAGTTAAGATTGAGCCCCTGAAGTCACTTGGACTATTTTAACGATGTCTTTAATGTATTTTCGGGGACAGCAAGTGTCATTCCCTCAAGAAGCCTACGGACTGTATGCAGGAGCGATCTTAATATCTTAAATATCTTAATTTGTGTTCTGAAGATGAACGAATGTCTTACGGGGTTGGAACAACATGAGGGTGAGTAAATACTGACAGAATTTTCATTTTTGGGTGAGCTAACCCTTTAAAAAGCACAAAATTTTCTTACGGGGGAGCATGCCCCCGAACCCCCCTAGAGGGACAGAGGTGCGCTGACCAATACTATATTTCATTTATTCGGTTTGGTCATTTACAGATCATTCAATCAATCAATCAAAACATTCGAAACATAAACAGGGATTAAAGTTCTCCGTCGCTTCGACGGATTTCCTTTAATTGCAGCGGGTCTATGACGCATATCCGTCAATTGCAGGGTTCCCGTCTGTCCTTATGTCTTAAATTAACTTTTCATAATTTTAAGGCCGTAAATAGGCTTTCATTTCGCAAACAGTGTGATAAATGTCTTATTTTTAGTTTGAATAGGTCTTAAATTGATGATGCGTATTCACCCTGCCGAGGGGGGATGTGATAAAGCCTGGAGTGGAGCGAAAGCACGTTACTCTCTCCACTCTAAGCATTCTGTAATCACTTTGCTCATGGTCCACTCCGGTTTTTCAATTCCCGCTCACGGAAAAACTGCTCCCTGGACCCTGTTCACTCAATCTTGTCAGGCGAGGCCACAGCTCGTTTGCTGCGGTCCCATGATAGAAAACAGAACGTGGGTCAATATTGGTCGTTTCTCAATACCAAGTACACAAACTTCGGACTTGCGTCCTTGGTAGTTCGGACTTGCCAAGTTCGACTCGAGAGAACAAACTCCCGAGGACGAGAGGACGCTGCTAACAGCGCGTTCTTGATCGCGTCACTCAGCACGCGGCTACTCCGGTTATCAACTCGGCCTTTTTTCATCAACACCACTGTGCCTCTTTTCATTTATAAATGAACATAATTATTATCAAAAACATATAAATGGCCACACAAATGTGGTTCAGGCAACGCACATTGATTATAATATATTTATAACAACACGAAATATAGCTAAAACACAAACCTGCTTCTTTTTGTTTTCATTTTAAAAATATATAACATTATTTATCATTAAAACTGACATTTAACAAACAGACAGGGTTGTGTCGTTTTATTGTATTATACGTACACATACAGTGAAGAGAATGAATAGTAATATAATATTTTATATATTTTAGAATATATAAAATTACACAACCATGTCTCTTTTTTTGTTAAATGTCAGTTTTAATGCTAATATCCCGTTCAAAGGTATAAGTACCCTAATAGGTAGGCTATAATAAGCTATACAATGAGAAATAAAGCAAACAATTCAGTTAAACATAAGTAGGCTCTCTAATAGGCTACAAAGTTAAAGTTAAATAGCCTACATAATAAAGTTATAAAACTTCACTTTGCCCTCAGCCAAAACAATTTGCCATGGCACAAACTATATATTAATATAGTTTAGCATTGTTTGGTCTCATAAGATAAAATAAAAACATGCACTGAAAACTTATGTATATGGTTGATTATTTGTCAAGATAAGTAATTGTTTTTCATAGATTAAAATAGCTTTTAAATTAAATTACAAAAACTGGCAATATTAGATTGGTTTTAAACATCTCCCCTTAAAACGCTATTGGTCTCGACTATTTAAATAAAGTATTAATAAAATTTTTGTAATAAAAAGATTGGATTAGTTCTAGTTTTGTGTATTTCCCCAAATTTCAATACCATACGTTAAGTATGGTGTAACAAGTGAAGTATAAAGTAAATGTAATGCATTTTTACTCAAGATATACTGCAACTTGTACAAAATTGCAATCATTTTAGATACTTTCTTCTGAACATTAAAAATATGCGGTTTCCATGTCATTTTACAATCAATAATTACTCCAAGAAATTTTATATGATTTACTCTTCTAAAATATTTTTATTAATAGTAATCCTGATCTCATTATTTAACTCTTTATTACTAAATACCATGAATTTCGTTTTATTTAAATTTAGTGACAATTTATTTAAATCAAACCAATTCTTTAGTTTATACAATTTTTTCTCTACCACCAACACAAGCTCTGTAAGATTTGGGCCAGAACAATAAATTGTTGTATCATCCGCGAAAAGAATAAAATTTAAAACATCCGACACTTTGCATATATCGTTTATATATAACAAAAATAACTTAGGCCCAAAACAGAGCCTTGCGGAACGCCACAATTAATGTGGCGTTAATATACAGTTAATATATAAACATCTTGTGAGAAAGACTGGTATTGCCAATGCAATTGGAGAATTGTATTTTAAACTTAGTAGTTATTTCATCTCACTCATTAGATGGGGTTGGTGGTTTTAATAGGAGTTGTTGGTATACATATTCAAGGGCGTACACAGTTCAGTTGTGTGTATGTTCATATGTAGTGGGCCAGTCTGGGCCAAAATGCCCAGGCCGATTTTTTTGTCCCAGTCCAGCCCTGGGCGGACTGATAATACTGGAGCACCAACTAGCGTTCATGACTTTTTTTTTACAGTCTATGCCTCAGCTAATAAAAAAAAAGCAGTGAACATGAACAAAGACGCTGACGAGACCCCTTCGGTTGGTCCTGTGGATGGGAAATTTAGTTATAAGAACGAACCGATGGAAGCGTCATTAAGAGCATGGTTGTTGTGTGCAAGCTATGCAACAAGGAATTCGCATATCACATTGACCCTCAAGTTTCACCTCAACGCAAAACATATACAATTGCACTGGTCTGTTGGATTTGGTTGAACAAAAATAAACAATATTTTGTTGCTTAAGCTTATGTATTCAGTCATTATTAAATGATATACTAAAAATCCATGTGAAAAAAAATCTTCTCACTGTTCTCAGTTCAAATATTTATGCAATTAAAATGCGCTTAATTTCGATTTATTAATTACAAAGCCTCTAATTAATTAGATTTTTTTTTAATCGAGTCCCGGCCCTAAAAATAATATATATAATTTACTCACACATTCTAAGTGATCTTATGAACCACTGACAACTCCTAAATAACTGGTTTGTAAATAATGCTATACTTCATTTAGATGTAAATTGATCATTAATAAAGTATGAAAATACAATTATTAAACACATTATAGATATGCTATTAAAACAAGAAAAAAAACATTTATAGCTGTATTTACATATATACTGCTTATTAATGTATTTTAATGCTTAATAAATGGTGAATTATCAGTTCACTAATGCTTAACTAATGATTAATACCATGCAGTTATTATAAAGTTACTGAAAGTTCCTATAAGCAGCCAGTTCACCAGCAGCTCTACAGTCTCAGAGCCTCTGGGACAGCAAGGCATTCAGACAATAGAGAAGTGTGAACGACGTGTGTTAATGGGCCATTGCAGTTCTTGCTCCAGCCTACAGGAGCGCTGCTGAGTATGGGCTTAAA